GAACGCAACCTTCTCTTGTCTTAGAAGAGGACAAGAACGCAACCTTCTCTTGTCTTAGAAGAGGACAAGAACGCAACGTTCTCTTGTCTTAGAAGAGGACAAGAACGTAACGTTCTCTTGTCTTAGAAGAGGACAAGAACGTAACCTTCTCTTGTCTTAGAAGAGGACAAGAACGTAACCTTCTCTTGTCTTAGAAGAGCACAAGAACGTAACGTTCTCTTGTCTTAGAAGAGGACAAGAACGTAACGTTCTCTTGTCTTAGAAGAGGACAAGAACGTAACGTTCTCTTGTCTTAGAAGAGGACAAGAACGTAACGTTCTCTTGTCTTAGAAGAGGACAAGAACGTAACGTTCTCTTGTCTTAGAAGAGGACAAGAACGTAACGTTCTCTTGTCTTAGAAGAGGACAAGAACGTAACCTTCTCTTGTCTTAGAAGAGGACAAGAACGTAACCTTCTCTTGTCTTAGAAGAGGACAAGAACGTAACGTTCTCTTGTCTTAGAAGAGGACAAGAACGTAACCTTCTCTTGTCTTAGAAGAGGACAAGAACGTAACGTTCTCTTGTCATAATAATCACTTGTGGGTTTCAATAAGAATGAAATACGAACCCCGTTTGAATTCTACATCGCTGGTGTTGCCGACTAGTGAAGCTGAAGTTAATATAATACGCTAATATTGCGCTAATATTGACTTCTGTTGTAATGGTGTAATATTCCTGAAGCTCTAATTGAGAAGCGTCAATTCTGTTGTAAAAGGATTTACAAATATTTAAAAATGCTTAGTCGTGTAGCTCCAATACTTTATTTTATATATATTGTAATAATTTATGTATATATTATTATCGACTTGCAATCAGGGAACCCGGGATCGATTCCCGGATGGGACAGAAATGCTTGGGTATGTTTCCATTCACTTAATATGTCTGTACACCTACCAGTAAATGGGTAGACAGGCAACTGTTGTTCGGTTGCATCCTGGGTCCGGTCTGCTGTTCCACCTACAACAGGTACCTACAGTCTGCTGTTCCACCTACAACAGGTACCTACAGTCTGCTGATCCACCTACAACAGGTACCTACAGTCTGCTGATCCACCTACAACAGGTACCTACAGTCTGCTGATCCACCTACAACAGGTACCTACAGTCTGCTGATCCACCTACAACAGGTACCTACAGTCTGCTGATCCACCTACAACAGGTACCTACAGTCTGCTGATCCACCTACAACAGGTACCTACAGTCTGCTGATCCACCTACAACAGGTACCTACAGTCTGCTGATCCACCTACAACAGGTACCTACAGTCTGCTGATCCACTTACGACAGGTACCTACAGTCTGCTGATCCACTTACGACAGGTACCTACAGTCTGCTGATCCACCTACAACAGGTACCTACAGTCTGCTGATCCACCTACAACAGGTACCTACAGTCTGCTGTTCCACCTACAACAGGTACCTACAGTCTGCTGATCCACCTACAACAGGTACCTACAGTCTGCTGTTCCACCTACAACAGGTACCTACAGTCTGCTGATCCACCTACAACAGGTACCTACAGTCTGCTGTTCCACCTACGACAGGTACCTACAGTCTGCTGATCCACCTACAACAGGTACCTACAGTCTGCTGATCCACCTACAACAGGTACCTACAGTCTGCTGATCCACCTACGACAGGTACAAGCCACAAGTATGGGGGGTAGAAAATGTCTAAGCTACTCTATCCCTTTGAGATGTCTGTCTTTCTTATCTCAATAAACATACTTGAACTTGAAGCCACAAGTCTTTACCCAACCTCCGGAGGGCCGCCGCACCACCTCCAACCAACAATTGAATGTGTGTGTACTCGTCTAGTTGTACTCACCTAGTTGTGCTTGCGGGGGTTGAGATTTGGCTCTTTGGTCCCGCCTCTCAACCGTCAGTCTACTGGTGTACAGATTCTTGAGCTTCTCGAACTCTATCATATCTACATTTGAAACTGTGTATGGAGTCAGCCTCCACCACATCACTTCCTAGTGCATTAGCCTTTCCTCATAACTCATGCCTCTTAGTTCTGGGACTAGCCTAGCGGCATACCTCTGAGCGTTTTCCAGCTTCGTCTTGTGCTTGACAAGGTACGGGCTCCATGCTGGGGCCGCATACTCCAGGATTGGTCTTGCATATGTGGTATACAAGGTTCTGAAGGATTCCTTACACAGGTTTCTGAAGGCGGTTCTGATGTTAGCCAGCCTCGCATACGCCGCCGATGGTATTCTTTTGATGTGGGTTTCATGAGACAGGTCTGGCGTGATATAAACTCCTAGATATTTCTCTCTGTCCGTTTCACGAAGGACTTCATCTCCCATTCGGTATCCAGTGACTGGCCTCTTATATCCTCCGCCTAGTTGCATCACCTTACATTTACTTGATCTGAACTTTAGTAGCCATTTGTTGGACCATTCCTTCAGTTTGTCTAGGTCATCGTGTAGCCTCATACTATCTTCCTCCGTCTTAATCCTCCTCAAAATTGGTGTCGCGTTGCTGGAGCCGGAACTGAACCCGTTGAGAACAATCATTGCTGTTCCTGTACTCGAGTGGCTACTTGCTGAGTAGGCAAGTAATTATTTGTAATTTTTCTTTTGTGTGTTTTTATTTATATATTTTGTATGTACAAAAAGTAAAAATCCTGCGAAGAATGTTTGGTTTAATTGGGCTGAGACACACAATTGCCCGCATTCTCAGCTTATTTACAAGGCATAAACCGTATGTTTGCACATGGATCGGCGTGTTTGATCCAAGTTGTGTCGAGGTGAATGTTGAATGTGCAGCTTCTATATACCAATATTTATTTTTGTATATTTATTATGAAACACCTACCCCGCTAACGCCCTATATTTAGATTTATAAGGAGATTGGTGCATTGAAATCTTTACGGTCTGTGTGTATTGCAAACAAATGATTACGAAGGTGTTCGTTATACACAGTTTGGAGGGAGTTTACTGTAGAGTGTGAGGTAGTGAGTGTAACATTAGGCTACTACTGTTTTCTGTTGTGGTGAAGAGAGCGAGGCGCTTCACCCATCACATTGTTGATAAATCTAGTCTAGTTTATCTTGCCAATAAAAAAAACAAAAGATCTTCCACTTTTTTATTATCCTTAAATATTAAAGTAAAAAATCTCTATTGTCTATCAGATATCTTTGCATATTATGGTATAAAAATATGTCATAAAATGTAGAATATGAGTATATGGATAAAAATTGATTCATCACAGGAGATTGGCACAGGGAAGCTTATTATAAAAGGCTATATCTCACAACACAGTTGAGATCAAGTTTGAACTTCAAGTTCACAAGACAATTGCTCATATTCGAGCAGCAGTCAACAAGTCATGGAGTTGGCCTCACAAGGAGAATTCGTGTCAGGTAATTTGGAAAATATCCTCAATATTGAGACCGTGAGCGTCATGGGGGCAAGTGTGTGATAAGACGCATACGTCATAAGATGAAAACTCTACTGGAACAAACACCGTCTGGGAGACCTTATAAGTTGCCACCTCTCGACCAACTTCGATGGCACGTCTCCTGCTGACTGCCGGAACACTTATAACATTAAATTATCATAAATCAAAGATAAAAATAGAGACTATGTATAAATATCTAAGGCAAAAGAGAGGTGTGAATGGGGTGGTGTCAGTGTGTGGGTGGGGTGGTGTCAGTGTGTGGGTGGGGTGGTGTCAGTGTGGGGGTGGGGTGTTGTCAGTGTGTGGGTGGGGTGGTGTCAGTGTGTGGGTGGGGTGGTGTCAGCGTGTGGGTGGGGTGGTGTCAGTGAGTGGGTGGGGTGGTGTCAGCGTGTGGGTGGGGTGGTGTCAGTGTGTGGGTGGGGTGGTGTCAGCGTGTGGGTGGGGTGGTGTCAGCGTGTGGGTGGGGTGGTGTCAGTGTGTGGGTGGGGTGGTGTCAGCGTGTGGGTGGGGTGGTGTCAGCGTGTGGGTGGGGTGGTGTTAATGAGTGGGTGGGGTGGTGTCAGTGTGTGGGTGGGGTGGTGTCAGCGTGTGGGTGGGGTGGTGTTAATGAGTGGGTGGGGTGGTGTCAGTGTGTGGGTGGGGTGGTGTCAGCGTGTGGGTGGGGTGGTGTCAGTGTGTGGGTGGGGTGGTGTCAGCGTGTGGGTGGGGTGGTGTCAGCGTGTGGGTGGGGTGGTGTCAGTGTGTGGGTGGGGTGGTGTCAGCGTGTGGGTGGGGTGGTGTTAATGAGTGGGTGGGGTGGTGTCAGTGTGTGGGTGGGGTGGTGTCAGCGTGTGGGTGGGGTGGTGTCAGTGTGTGGGTGGGGTGGTGTCAGCGTGTGGGTGGGGTGGTGTCAGCGCGTGGGTGGGGTGGTGTTAATGAGTGGGTGGGGTGGTGTCAGTGTGTGGGTGTGGGTGGGGTGGTGTCAGTGTGTGGGTGGGGTGGTGTCAGCGTGTGGGTGGGGTGGTGTTAATGAGTGGGTGGGGTGGTGTCAGTGTGTGGGTGGGGTGGTGTCAGTGTGTGGGTGGGGTGGTGTCAGCGTGTGGGTGGGGTGGTGTCAGTGTGTGGGTGGGGTGGTGTCAGAGTGTGGGTGGGGTGGTGTCAGCGTGTGGGTGGGGTGGTGTCAGTGTGTGGGTGGGGTGGTGTCAGAGTGTGGGTGGGGTGGTGTCAGCGTGTGGGTGGGGTGGTGTCAGTGTGTGGGTGGGGTGGTGTCAGTGTGTGGGTGGGGTGGTGTCAGCGTGTGGGTGGGGTGGTGTCAGTGTGTGGGTGGGGTGGTGTCAGTGTGTGGGTGGGGTGGTGTCAGTGTGTGGGTGGGGTGGTGTTAATGAGTGGGTGGGGTGGTGTCAGTGTGTGGGTGGGGTGGTGTCAGCGTGTGGGTGGGGTGGTGTCAGTGTGTGGGTGGGGTGGTGTCAGAGTGTGGGTGGGATGGTGTCAGCGTGTGGGTGGGGTGGTGTCAGCGTGTGGGTGGGGTGGTGTCAGTGTGTGGGTGGGGTGGTGTCAGCGTGTGGGTGGGGTGGTGTCAGCGTGTGGGTGGGGTGGTGTCAGCGTGTGGGTGGGGTGGTGTCAGTGAGGTGGAAGTAGCGGGGATGAGGTCCGAGAAGTTTGATGTCAGTGAGACAGAAGGGTGGGTAAGGACAGTGAGGTGAAGGGAGATGAGGTAAAGATGAAAGAAGTTAAAGATTATGTTACATATTACGTAAGTTAAATAAGATATCACAGCCCAGCCTCCAATAATAATGACTATACTTTTAGCAATATTTGACCAAACAGACTTTTGGGCTCAAAAACTTCACGCTTGGTATTATATAATTAACCCAGATGGCATACAAGAAAAATGGAAAAGTAATAAAGAACATAATATAACCTCTCCAATCCTAGGGCTAATATACGCTATCCTAGCCCTATATTGTAAATATATATGCGTTATACTAGGCTAAAAATGTTTGTTTGGTTTTTTGTCTTTTTTTCCTGTCCTCTAAAAAATTAATTGTAAAAAACGTGATTCTTATTGAGCGTTCGACCAAACAGTTGCTGTAAGTACACCGTCCTTTTAAGAGGTTGGCTTTGATAACGATGCGACACGTCGCCAGGTACCAGCACAATATGTACTTTATTATTGTCACTATTAGCATTTTTAACTTTATTTTGAAAGTAGTAAGGGACAACTGTGCCTTTGAGTTTATTTTAATTAAAAATCTGGCACTATTTGATCCAAATAAAGAGGTAACAGTATCATAAAGCGTGAGGCACTCTGTATGGTTGGTTTGGACCAGACAGTTATTTTGAGTAGATAATGAAGCTGGTGTTAATTAATTAAGCCGAGCTTGAGAGCTGCCAGAGAGAGCATTCGGCAACCTGCTACACGGTCGTGTGGACGGGCGTGACCTAGGCAGTCGGTCGTGTGGACGGGCGTGACTTAAGCAGAGTCGTGTACGTCAGCTTGCGACGAGAAGTCGTCGTCTTCCACATCGAGAATATCTTCATCCTCGGTGTCGGTGAGCGGGTGGGCCGAGGGCGGGAGGACCTCCGGGTGGCGCGAGCGAACGTGTCTGTCTAAATCTCTGCGTCGCACCAACACCTTCCCGCAGTGGTCGCACCTGTAGGGCGTCTCGCCCTCCGCGTGCAGCCTCACATGCTTGTTCAGGTTGCTGGGGTCGCCGAACGGTCGCAAGCAAACTTTGCACTTGAGCGGCTTGTAGCCTGTGTGAGTGCGGATGTGAATTTTGAGGCCGTATTTACGGGAGTAGAGCTTTCCGCAGTACAGACAAAGGTGACCTCGTCGGCTGCGGCCCAAGTTTGACACCAGCGTCTCCATTTCAGCGCAGGGGTCCACCACGACCCTTGCAGGATCCGCCTCCAGGAGCGGGCGGGCAGCACTCGTCAGGGGCATGACGGGCATAAGAGGCTGGGCAGCACTGGTGCTCTGGGGGTGCGGGGGCAGCAGTGTACCGAACAGCAAACGTGGATGAAATAATAAATCATGGTTGCTTGTGGGCGGCGGGCCTCCCATGATGAGTGGATGCACTGTGGAAGACCGGAAGGAAGCCCGGGAAGGTCCGGCAGAGAGGAAACTTGGAGGCCTTGGGCAAATTTGGAGTCTGGGACCCGGGCTCTCTGGGGGCCCCGTGGTGTTGCTATTGACTCTACGAAAAGCAGACCGTGGCTCCTGTTGGAGGGAAGACCTGGGTGGAGAGGGTCTGGGGTCGCCCATGTGAGAGCTTGTGGAATCGGGAGAGACAGACTTGCTGCCACCGGGCGACCCTCGGCCCCCTGACGTCTCTGCAGGTCTTCCTGGGGACCTGTTGACGGGTCTAGAGGGCGGCGTCTGGGGCCTGGGCGACACGGAGACCATCTCGAAAGGGCGGGATGAGAGGAGAGGCGTGAACCAGGGCTTGGGCGTGATGCGGGCGGGCAGGCAGGAGAGGCGCTCCCACAGCAGGTGTGAGGCCAGCGTGTCGCAGCGGGCCGCCAAGTGCAGCTTCAGGGGGTTAGGGGCCGTGAAGGGTCGGCTGCAGTGCGGACACACGTACACTCCGTCTGCAAGGAACCAGAAGGTAGTGGGGTAAGAAACCTTGCGAAGGAGAGGAAAGGTAAGGAAGATGGAGGAGAGAGAATCGTGTTAATGGGGAGTCCAGTATTCACCTAGTTGTGCTTGAGGGGGTCGAGCTCTGCTCTTTCGACCCGCCTCTCAACTCTACTACTATTTTTTTCACCCACACCACACACAGACACACACACCCCAGGAAGCATCCTATGACAGCTGACTAACTCCCAGGTACCTATTTAATGCTAGGTAGCAGGGGCATAGGGTGAAAGAAACTCTGGCCATCGTTTCTCGCCGGCGCCCGGGACCACAGGATAAAGTGACCAGCGTGCTGTCCGCTCGGCCACCGGATCCCGAGCGGATAGGTAGTGGTGCGGACACCACTACCTACCAGTGGTGCGCAGGTAGTGATGATGGTTACAGTTTAGTGAAGATGGTCGCAGTAATGAGGATGGTCGTTTAAATTGTAAGGTAATTATCAGGAAAAAGCGCTAAGCCATTATGACCATATAGCACTTGGAAGGAATGAGGAGACGGATTTGGGATAAGACGAAGGGAAGGAATGGTGCTCAGTCACTTGGAAGTTCAGGAATTGAACACCGATTTTGCAAGAAACAAGACCGTCGCTCTACCATCCAGTCAAACTGGTTGGACGTTTTGATTGCAAACCCTACTGTGAAGGGTAGGGAAGGTGGTGAAGGGTAGGGAAGGTGGTGAAGGGTAGGGAAGGTGGTGAAGGCTAGGGAAGGTGGTGAAGGGTAGGGAAGGTGGTGAAGGCTAGGGAAGGTGGTGAAGGGTAGGGAAGGTGGTGAAGGCTAGGGAAGGTGGTGAAGGGTAGGGAAGGTGATGAAGGGTAGGGAAGGTAGGGAAGGTGATGAAGGGTAGGGAAGGTAGGGAAGGTGGTGAAGGCTAGGGAAGGTGGTGAAGGGTAGAGAAGGTGGTGAAGAGTAGGGAAGGTGGTGAAGGCTAGGGAAGGTGGTGAAGGGTAGGGAAGGTGGTGAAGGCTAGGGAAGGTGGTGAAGGGTAGGGAAGGTGATGAAGGGTAGGGAAGGTGGTGAAGGGTAGGGAAGGTGGTAAAGGGTAGGGAAGGTGGTGATGGGTAGGGAAGGTGGTGAAGGGTAGGGAAGGTGGTGAAGGCTAGGGAAGGTGGTGAAGGGTAGGGAAGGTGGTGAAGGGTAGGGAAGGTGGTGAAGGCTAGGGAAGGTGGTGAAGGGTAGGGAAGGTGGTGAAGGCTAGGGAAGGTGGTGAAGGGTAGGGAAGGTGATGAAGGGTAGGGAAGGTGGTGAAGGGTAGGGAAGGTGGTAAAGGGTAGGGAAGGTGGTGATGGGTAGAGAAGGTGGTGAAGAGTAGGGAAGGTGGTGAAGGCTAGGGAAGGTGGTGAAGGGTAGGGAAGGTGATGAAGGGTAGGGAAGGTAGTGAAGGGTAGGGAAGGTGGTGAAGGGTAGGGAAGGTGGTGATGGGTAGAGAAGGTGGTGAAGGCTAGGGAAGGTGGTGAAGGCTAGGGAAGGTGGTGAAGGGTAGGGAAGGTGGTGAAGGGTAGGGAAGGTGGTGAAGGGTAGGGAAGGTGGTGAAGGCTAGGGAAGGTGGTGAAGGGTAGGGAAGGTGGTGAAGGGTAGGGAAGGTGGTAAAGGGTAGGGAAGGTGGTGAAGGGTAGGAAAGGTGGTGAAGGGTAGGGAAGGTGGTGAAGGGTAGGGAAGGTGGTGAAGGGTAGGGAAGGTGGTGAAGGGTAGGGAAGGTGGTGAAGGCTAGGGAAGGTGGTGAAGGCTAGGGAAGGTGGTGAAGGCTAGGGAAGGTGGTGAAGGGTAGGGAAGGTGGTGAAGGGTAGGGAAGGTGGTAAAGGGTAGGGAAGGTGGTGAAGGGTAGGAAAGGTGGTGATGGGTAGGGAAGGTGGTGAAGGGTAGGGAAGGTGGTGAAGGCTAGGGAAGGTGGTGAAGGGTAGGGAAGGTGATGAAGGGTAGGGAAGGTAGTGAAGGGTAGGGAAGGTGGTGAAGGGTAGGGAAGGTGGTGATGGGTAGGGAAGGTGGTGAAGGGTAGGGAAGGTGGTGAAGGCTAGGGAAGGTGGTGAAGGCTAGGGAAGGTGGTGAAGGGTAGGGAAGGTGATGAAGGGTAGGGAAGGTAGTGAAGGGTAGGGAAGGTGGTGAAGGGTAGGGAAGGTGGTGAAGGGTAGGGAAGGTGGTGAAGGGTAGGGAAGGTGATGAAGGGTAGGGAAGGTGGTGAAGGGTAGGGAAGGTGGTGAAGGGTAGGGAAGGTGGTGAAGGGTAGGGAAGGTGGTGAAGGGTAGGGAAGGTGATGAAGGGTAGGGAAGGTGGTGAAGGATAGGGAAGGTGGTGAAGGGTAGGGAAGGTGGTGAAGGGTAGGGAAGGTGGTGATGGGTAGGGAAGGTGGTGAAGGCTAGGGAAGGTGGTGAAGGCTAGGGAAGGTGGTGAAGGCTAGGGAAGGTGGTGAAGGCTAGGGAAGGTGATGAAGGGTAGGGAAGGTGGTGAAGGGTAGGGAAGGTGATGAAGGGTAGGGAAGGTGGTGAAGGGTAGGGAAGGTGGTGAAGGGTAGGGAAGGTGGTGAAGGGTAGGGAAGGTGGTGAAGGGTAGGGAAGGTAGTGAAGGGTAGGGAAGGTAGTGAAGGGTAGGGAAGGTGGTGAAGGGTAGGGAAGATGGTGAAGAGGGAAGGGAAGGTGGTGAGATGGGGGTACATGGAGGTGTCCGGATAGTGATGATAGCTACAGTGAAGAAAATGGTGTGTAACAGATGGTTACAGTGATAATGGTCGTTAAAAGGGAAGGTCGTGTGTAGTGCCGATGGTTACAGTGTTGGAGATGAGGTGAAGTGTCAATGGTTGGTGTGGTGAGGTGGTGTGTGGTGGTGTGTGGTGGTGTGTGGTGGTGTGTGGCCTCCCTCACCCCAACCACACTTAGCTACCCTACTATATATCTATAAATTAACTCTTTTCATCCCGTGCATGAACTTTATTTATCTATTAACGTAGATGTGGTCTTCTATAAATATTTTATTTAATAAATTATTTTATTAAAACTTTTAGTTTTCATAACTATTAGTTTTTTTTATATAAAAAAAATTGCAATTGTATAATCACGTTTTCTAAAAGTACAATAATAATAAAAAATGGAACCAAGAGTTCAAGGGTTAGTGAAGAAGAAAATGGATAACTTTCAAGAGCTCTTAAATTTGTTAAATAGTATACCAATAAATATTTAATTGATCTACATAAGTATTAGTACAAAAACTTACCACTTACTTCTAATGTGGGAGAAGTTGAGGAACGGGAGGCCAAGATGGGCGGCGACCTCGGATGAGAACCACAGGGGCGGCGTCTCTCCCTCCTTGACGGTCCTCGTCAGCGTGACCCTGAGGGTCGGGCCGCCGCCCTCCCGCTGGTGCTGCTGGTGGTGGTGGTGGTGGTGGGCGTAGGTGAGTGTAGCAGCCTCGGCGTGCACGTCCGTGGCCAGGGGCAGCAGGGGCAGCCAGGTGGCCACATCCACGCCATCGCCAGCCACCAGCAGCCCGTCCTTCACCTGGGGAACACCACAACCTCAGACAACACAACAAGGCAAAACACTTGGGCCAGATTCACGAAAGCGATCGCAGAAGACACTATACAAGAAGGAAAAAATAGCACTGATGACGAACAGAAGAACGCTGGTAAAGAACAGAACACTGTTGAATAACAGAATAACAATGGTGAAGAGAACATCGATGCAGAAGAGAACACTGGTGAAAAACAGATGAACGCTGGTAAAGATCAGTAAAGTGCTGTTTGCGAACAGATGATACTTGTTGAAGACCAGAAGAACATTGATGAAGAACAAAAGTGAAGAACCCAAACACTCGTGAATAACGTAATTACGCTGGTTAGGAATAGAACACGGGTAAAAAAATAATATTATGAAGAACTGGAGAACTCTGACAAATAAAAAACACTGGCCAAAAACACTAACAAAAACACTGGCCAAAAACACTAATAAAAACAATGAAACTTTGGAAAGAACAAAAAAAATGGTAAGAAAAGAACACTGATTGCGAAGAGCAGAAACACAGTGAAGAATAGAACATAGGTGAAGAGCTGAAGAACACTAATGAACCCCTGTGAAGAACAAGAGAACACTGACGAAGGATAGAAGAACACTGCTGAAAAACAGAACATTGTGAAGAACAGGAGAACATTAGTGAAGAAACAGGAGCCGCTAACAAACGCCATGAAAAACAAGTTAAGTTTCCGTGAATAATTAGCGAGAGCGTTCTTGACACCGTGTTCACCACCACCGTGTTCACCACCACAGTGTTCACCACCACAGTGTTCACCACCACAGTGTTCACCACCACAGTGTTCACCACCACAGTGTTCACCACCACAGTGTTCCCTCACACAGTGTTCACCACCACAGTGTTCACCACCACAGTGTTCCCTCACACAGTGTTCACCACCACGGTGTTCACCACCACAGTGTTCACCACCACAGTGTTCACCACCAGCAGGTAGAACATCACGTGACCTTGGGACCGACACAGGTGGAAAACCTGGAGGAGATTTGTACAATAAGCGCAATAATGACATAGTGTGAGTGTACTGAAACTTGAGAACAATATGTGGTGTTTACCATGTAGTTAAGACGGGCACTGAAACCTGGAGTGTTCTCGTAGCTGTTTCAGGTGTGAGTTGTTCTTATCTAGGAAATAGCAGTGTGTCAGTAGGCTGGAGGAGAGTTGTGGGGAGGTCCTGTTCTACTGACGAGAGTGAGAAGTTGGTGGGAGGGGGATGAGAGAGAGACAGACAGAAAGAGAGAGAGAGAGAGAGAGAGACAGAGAGACAGAAAGAGAGAGAGAGAGACAGACAGAAAGAGAGAGAGAGAGAGAGACAGAGACAGAGAGAGAGAGACAGACAGAGAGACAGAAAGAGAGAGACAGAAAGAGAGAGAGAGAGACAGAAAGAGACAGAAAGAGAGAGAGAGAGAGACAGAAAGAGAGAGAGAGACAGAAAGAGAGAGAGAGAGAGAGAGAGAGAGAGAGAGAGAGAGAGAGAGAGAGAGAGAGAGAGAGAGAGAGAGAGAGAGAGAGAGAGACAGAGACAGAAAGAGAGAGAGACACACAGAAAGAGAGAGAGAGACACAGAGACAGAGACAGAGAGAGAGAGACAGACACTCACCTGTAGCTTGAGTGTGAGAGCGTCTTGGAGGTGTCGCTGCTGGAGGAACTTGTCCTGTGTGAGGGCCAGGTTGAGGTGGTGGGCGGGGTGGGCGCGGGTGGCCGCTGCCCTGGGCAGGTCGGCGCCCGCTGCCACCTGCAGCAGGGGCGTGGCGGTGCGGGCGGCCGCCGGCTCCACGGAGACACGGACGCAAGAGTGCGTGGGGATCGTGTTTGTCTCAGAGTGGGCGGTCGTCGGGGCAACGCACGCGGCCCATTCACGCCCATGGCCGCCCACCATCACGCCCACGGTCATGCCACTTGTCCACAAATCTCTTGTTTCTTTCGGTTTCTCCGTTACACGGGCGCCGTGACCTCTCCCGTGACTCCAGACTTTCACTCTTCCGGTCGTGTGCTCTCGGGACGCCCCTCGAGGCTAGCGTGCACGTGCGGGCGGCTGATGTACAAGTGCGCGCACGTGTCGCGCGTGCGGCTATATAGTGATGCACGCGCGTGGGAAGCGTCAGCTGGGCTGCACGTGGCACACACCAGCTGACCAGGAACCTGCCCTACACGCGCCAGGCAGGTCCTGCCCTGGTGGGGTGGTGGTGGTGACCGAGGTACATGGTGACTCTTGGGGGGTTGTGGTGACTCTTGGGGGGGTTGTGGTGACTCTTGGGGGTTGTGGTGACTCCTGGTGGTTGTGGTGACTCTTGGTGGTTGTGGTGACTCTTGGTGGTTGTGGTGACTCTTGGTGGTTGTGGTGACTCCTGGTGGTTGTGGTGACTCTTGGTGGTTGTGGTGACTCCTGGTGGTTGTGGTGAGGATAGTGGTGACCGAGGTACTGGCCCATATAGTAGTCACCATAATGCCTGCCACAGTATATGTGCTGTAAACAACAGAACTTTGATGAAGAACAAAACACAGGTGAATAACAGGAGAACACTGAGAATAATAATCCGATAAGTAATATTTCCTGTAAATTACTCCCTCATACACTCCGGGTGTGTCCGAGCACACTCTTTAGAGTACAAGGGGATGTGCTCGGACACACCACACCGGACTAGTGGTGTGTCCGAGCACACTCTTCAGAGTACAAGGAGAGACTCGGGGTGTGTCCGAGCACACTCTTCAGAGTACAAGGAGAGACTCGGGGTGTGTCCGAGCACACTCTTCAGAGTACAAGGGGATGTGCTCGGACACACCACACCGGACTAGTGGTGTGTCCGAGCACACTCTTTAGAGTACAAGGGGATGTGCTCGGACACACCACACCGGACTAGTGGTGTGTCCGAGCACACTCTTTAGAGTACAAGGGGATGTGCTCGGACACACCACACCGGACTAGTGGTGTGTCCGAGCACACTCTTCAGAGTACAAGGGGATGTGCTCGGACACACCACACCGGACTAGTGGTGTGTCCGAGCACACTCTTCAGAGTACAAGGAGAGACTCGGGATGAGTCCGAGCACACTCTTCAGAGTACAAGGAGAGACTTGGGGTGAGTCCGAGCACACACTTACAGCACATCTTCATTAAGTATCCAGAAGCCATGTTAACCAACACACTGTCAAGTGAAGAACGAGACTGGGGAAAATGTCATTTATAATTAAATAATTTATAACTACGTTATCCTATAGATAAGAAAATATTCTCCAAAAAGACAGTGACCTAAATGCCATTCTGTGTATTAACTATTACGGTGCTGCTGGGGAATGCCAAATCGTCACGTCAGCATTGATTCCCATCTGAGGAAGGGCCAAGAGGATGCCCCGAGCCTCAAGCAGCCCTGAGAGGGTCCAGCACGCGCCCCTGATCCCGGCAACACCAAACAATAAAAATCCACCAAGACGGACACGGCGGCGAGGACTGGGGTGCCCCACAAGACAGAATAAACAACGATAATGTGGGTTAATGGCGGGCGACGCACGTGCTGCCCCGCGCCACTTGGTCGTCACGGGGCGTTTGCTCGCTATCAAATACGTTTCTGCTTCATATTCCCGCCTCATTCGTTCCTCGTGTCGGCGCGAAGACCTCGCTATGCCATTGTTTATACTATAATATTATATATGATTGCATTTTCTTCTATATTTTCGCATTATTACTTGATTCAAAATAAGAAAAGGGATAAAAGATGGGTATATGAAGAAGCATTAGTTGCTCAATTGACTGTGTCGGTAATCCGGAGTGGAGCGACTCCCCTCTGTTGACTGTACACTTGTCATCCGACCCGAGGGAGGGAAAGGGGGAGGGCGAGGGGGACCTAGGGGGAAATCTAAGGGAAAAGGGGAGAGAAAAGGCAACTGGGGGAGGGCTTTGGATGGCGATTAATTGAGGAGCGTGAAGAGCACTGGGTGAGGTTGGAAGTGAGAGGAGGATGGGGAGAGGGGAGGGATGGGCTGAGGGGAGAGGGGAGGGATGGGCCGAGGGGAGAGGGGAGGGATAATACACGTTACTAATTAAATATTAATTACTGCAGCCCTCTACACTGCTAATGGAATCTGATAATCATACTGGAAGTAAACAGTTATGAACAAATCTGAAGAAAATTGATTTACGTAATAAAACTCTGGTCAGTGTTTAGATTTGCGTGGAAATGCGCAGTTATACACATAGCACTTTATGTTCCTCTAATGGGTCACTACTATAATAAACGACAAATTTGAAACTACAAAAAATCTCCCCAACCACTTGGGGTGGACGGTAGAGCGACGGTCTCGCTTCATGCAGGTCGGCGTTCAATCCCCGACCGTCCAAGTGGTTGGGCACCATTCCTTCCCCCCGTCCCATCCCAAATCCTTATCCTGACCCCCTTCCAAGTGTTATATAGTCGTAACGGCTTCGTGCTTTCCCCTGATAATTCCTCTCCCTTCTGTGGCAGCCACCGAGCCTAAAAGCTTATGAAAGCTTCTCTCAAGGAAACACCAAAGGACTCAATAAGACAGTAAACTAGTGAAGGCGTGTAGGCGGCAGCTCTCATACCCAACCACTTTGTTATCAACATATTGAGGTACACCTGTGCTTATACAACTACTCTACATTATGTGAAGCGTCACATAGTTACTCTCAAGAGCTATGTGATGCTGAAACACAATCCCCATCTCACAGAATGGTAAGTAATTATCAAAAGAAGGCACCAAGCTGGGAAGGCTGTGTAGCACCATCAGAGGGCGCTAAATATCACCAAGGATGCCAATACGAGAACAGAAACACATAAGGTGAACGATATCAAAAGTATCCGAGTCACCAAGAATACTATCGAGGGACAAGTGACCGCGAGGGACGGTCAGGGAGCAAGACACACGCTCGTCCTGGAAGTCAGGACATTCAACAAGGATATGCACCACCGTAAGAGGGACAATGCAGCTTGGACAATCAGGAGCAGGGCGGCGCTCTCACAGAATGGTAAGTCATTCAGGTTCACATCCCCCATACACAGTGACGGATCAGAAGAGTGAGGGAAGACATGATCACTACCTACAAAATCCTCAGGGGAATTGACAGGGTAGACAAGGATAAACTATTCAACACTGGTGGTACGCGAATAGGGGGTATAATATATTATATATATATATATATATAATGTCGTACCTAGTAGCCAGAACGCACTTCGCAGCCTACTATGCAAGGCCCGATTTGCCTAATAAGCCAAGTTTTCATGAATTAATTGTTTTTCGACTACCTAACCTACCTAACCTAACCTAGCTTTTTCGGCTACCTAACCTAACCTAACCCATAAAGATAGGTTAGGTTAGGTTAGGTAGGGTTGGTTAGGTTCGGTCATATATCTACGTTAATTTTAACTCCAATAAAAAAAAATTCACCTCATACATAATGAAATGGGTAGCTTTATCATTTCATAAGAAAAAAATTTGAGAAAATATATCAATTCAGGAAAACTTGGCTTATTAAGCAAATCGGGCCCTGAATTGTAGGCTGAGAAGTGCGTTCTGGCTACTAGGTACGACATATATATATATATATATATATATATATATATATATATATATATATATATATATATATATATATATATATATATATATATATATATATATATATATATATATATATATATATACTTTATATATATATATATATACACTTACACACATATACAGCATGGAGTCCATATCTAGTCAAGCATAAGACTAAACTGGAAAAGGTTCAAAGGTTTACCACCAGACTAGTACCCGAGCTGAGGGGTATGAGCTACGAGGAGAGACTACGGGAATTAAACCTCACGTCGCAGGAAGACAGAAGTTAGGGGGTACATGATCACCACATACAAAATTCTCAAAGGAATTGATAGGACAGATAAAGACAGTTTATTTACCACAAGGGGCACACGCACTAGGGGACACAGGTGGAAATTGAGTGCCCAAATGAGCCATAGAGACATTAGAAAAAATTGTTTTTAGTGTCAGAGTGGTTGACAAATGGAATGCATTAGGAAGTGATGTGGTGGAGGCTGACTCCATACACAGCTTCAAGTGTAGATATGATAGAACCCAAAAGGCTCAGGAACCTGTACATCAGTTGATTGACAGTTGAGAGGCGGGACCAAAGCGCCAGAGCTCAACCCCCGCAAGCACAACTAGGCGAGTACATACATATAGACACATACATTCATTTAGACATACATATATATACATACATTTATACATATATACATTACATATATACACACACAATACAAAATATTTTTAATATAATATGTAAATTAAAAAAATATGAGTTTGGAAACATAAATGTTGAGGATTATTATAATAGTATATTTAGGGTATGCTTCGTGTTCAAGTGTTCAATTGTCATACGAACTAGCTGCAGTTCTAATCATGTCTGGGCACATGTAGATTTAAATGCATTTTAAAATGTAAGTTTAAATATAACATTGAATTGAGATTTTTATGACAGCCGCTCATATATACAACATTCACTAACCGCTCCTTGTTCTACAACACGCCTACAAAAATAAAAATCCAGTAATGCCGCTGTATCATGTCAGCCAGAAGTGTAGTCTCTCCGTGTCAGAAGGCCAATAATTAAGACTGTGGCATAATTTCCTCACAATAGGTTATGGAGGCGGCCAGATTGTGGTAATTATTGATGTAGTGTTTACGGTCGTCAGTACCATTAGCGCGCCACACACCCCCCTGCCAGACGCCACCCTCGCGCGTACCATAATAACTCTTAATATACTGTCACCTAAAGGCTAAAATTCAGCGCTCTACAAGCTGATTTTGCTCTTCACAATAAAATGATCTTTAAGCTTTAGGGAGACAAAGACTGATTTCGCTTGCCACGTTAGTAAAT